TGTACTATAATGCTACAGCATAGAGGTGCACTTTAGATATGACATTGCTTTTTTTTTCTCTTTTAGGAGATCTATGATTTAACATGTATTATGTTATATTTTGCAGTTTTTTAATGAGAGTTCTTTGATTTCTAATCTAAAAAGATAGGTCATGTTTTTTATTGCTTCTGCTTTGTTTTTCTGGCTTTGATTTTTGCTACTATGTAGCTAATGAGGGAGTTGCATTTTAAGAATGGTCTCTTCTGATGCGCCCAGAAAAAAACATGGTAGATTTTAACCATTTATGTTTTACCGATTATAGTTATCTGAAATCTACAATGTAGCATAATAAACCAAAACAGAAAACTTATAAAGAGGTGATGATAGAGATATTGATTCTGCCTGTAAATAGTTTTGTTTTAGAAGTACAAATGACAGATAAAATGTATATAATATAGCCCCTGAATTTTACCAAAATTTTGTCAGTACTTAAAAAAAAACTAATTAACTCATGATTTTCACACTTCCTTCAGACACAGACATTCTTTAACTTAAAGGGATCCACGATTAGTTGTAAACATAAACTTTATTTGGGAATTTTTTTATTTTTCGGTGTAAATATAATACAGTTCAACCCAGCATACATTGCACAGGTGAAAAAAATATCAACCTCCATGGGAGAAAAATATAACAAAGGGTATATGTTTTTTAAAGGAATACTTAGTTTTTATATATCAAAAAGGGTCATTTCAAATTAAATAGGAAATTATATATTTAGGAAAATGTGTTCAACCAGTCGTGGATTCCTTTAAATAAATTTTTCGTAGTTGTGGCAAATCCCTCTTTTTTTATCCAATATTTTTTTTTACCTTAAGCAATAAATGCCATATCAACACTTATTAACACCCACATTATATTGATGAAACTTGATAGGGATTGGATTTTCTTTCTTTCTAGCTTAACTGTAATTTTTGCTTGTGCAACGCATATAGAACTCTTTTTTTATTATTCAATTTTATTCGAACATAAGACAATTATTAAAAGTAAAACAATGCTAAAAGAGAAATCTTTGTTCAAAAAGGAGTAGAATGAAGACAATGCTTATTTAATTGCACCCCTTTGTTACACAAAACTAAATAATTACTCTTTATGTAAATCTTATTCTATAATGCTATCAAAACTATCTACAACAAAAAATACAGATAGCAATAAGACTATTAATTGTACTACTATTAATAACATTAACACCATTCATCAGTTAATAATAATGTCCATTATCAATACAATACCACTATCAATAATATGCATCTTGTTATCTTTATCATTATTAATTCAAAAGCCAACAATAATGACAACCAAAATCACCATAATTGATGAGAAATAGATAGTCATCACTTTTCATTTCCATACACGTGAAGTAGCATATTTTTGTATGGTGATTTAAACATATGCATATCGGGAGACTGCTTGTATTTTATCCTCCAGGCTGTTCCATCGTTTAATTCCACATACAGACGCACAAAAACTCTCCAGTGGTTTTCAAAGAGGGAATTCTAAATTTCATGAGCCCCTCAAAATTGATAGCCTCTATTTCCAAGATTTTGGAAATTGAGTGGTAATAATTGTTTACTAGCTTTATACGTGATCTGTGCTGTATGTCAATGAACCGCCTCCTGCAGTTTAAGCAATTTCAACTGTAAAAACAGATAATCTGTATGATCCAGATACCCAACACTATGGACTGCCATTTTCTGCAACACTGATAATGAGTTTAATACAATTTTGGAATTACTTCCCTATATCTCAATAAAGTAGGTACAATAAGGTAGAACTAATAAGCAATAAAAAAAAACAGGGAGTTGTAATCGAACAGCTGCTTCATTCTTTTCATGACTCCAATGTTTTTTACCATTATGTTTTGTGTGTATCTGATGTGAGACTTCCAATTGAGATTACTGTCTAGCATCACATCCAGTACTTTCCTTTCATTTTAATTTCCTTTATATTTTCAATAATTACTTGACAAATTTTATTTGTGTACTATTTATATTTTTGCAGTTACCAAACTTTGTTACCTTAGTTTTCTCTACATTAGGTGATAATTTAGTTCTATTCACCCATTTTTAAATGTACTTAAATCTTGATTTATAGTAATAATTACTTCATTGTAATAATCTACAGAATACAGTATATCATTGAGTGTCATAAGCAAATAGGGTCAATTTTGATAATTTAGAAACTTAAAATGTAACATTTATGCATATATTACATAATCTAGGAACCAAAACTGAACCCTGAGGGATCCCAAAAACACTCTCCATACACTTAGATGGATATAAGATCACCCATTTTTACAAATTGTTTTCTCTTAGATAACTATTAATCCAGTCCAGTGCCTCTCCCCTGATGCTAAACTGCTGCAGCTTGTTAATGAGTACCGAATGATTTGTTGAATCAAATCCTTTCCATTAGTCCATACTAATTCTGTTTCAATATGTCATTTTCATGTCATATTGGGTTTTCTTGACTTTTTTTAAAGAGTTTTTCTCTGGATTTTTAAAAATTTGTGACACTGGTCTGTAGGTGTTATATTTGTTCCCTTACTTGAAAAGAGGTATTATTTTAGCTGTTTTCATATTCTGTGGAAATGTGCTACTTTGAATTGCTTAAGTGGTTTTAAAATACCATGGATAATTATTTTCACCAATGACATCGGTCACAGTAAGTGGAGCATTTGTTGGTACACTTAGCCTATTAAAAGCTGGTTTAACCTCCAACTCATCTACTGCTGAGAGAAAGATAGAGTGGGAACTATTCTCAATCAGCAAATTCCCTCATAGTTTCCTTTCCCTAGTCTGGGATTTTTGCCACCAACTCTGGTCCCACATTGAGAAAAAAAAAAAAATATATATATATATTTTACCCCTTATTAGTTCCATTAACCCTTTTATTAGACTTTAGAATGCTTGTTTGTAAAAAAAAAAAAAAAAACATGTAAACCCTTTAATTTATCTTAACTCCAGATGAACAAAAACTAACCCTTTCCTGATTATATCAGTGTTGCCCCTAGTGACACATCCTGAAAGTTTCGAGTCACTTCATACAGACTAATATCAAATTACAGTCTCCAAGACTGCCCAAAACTATGAAAATTAAAAACTTCATTTAGAAATGTAAACAAAAGTGCAAATATAAAAGAAAATGTAAAAGGAGAAAATATTTTTTCATAAACACAGAAGGAAAAATTTATATCTTTTTCAACTAAATACATAGAAGAAATGTGAAAGAACTAGCTAAGGAAGGTCTATATGTCTTTTCATCTGTTTCTTTATCAAAACCTCTAACATAAAATAATTAAAGATACATTATATAGATTTTTACTGAAAAATATCTTTAAAATAGCCTTTTTATTTAGCATTTTATGACTGCAATAAATACTGAGGTATCAGTCTGCTTCATAAGCAGACTGACACCTCAGTATTTCAGTGCTGATCTATAAGCCTAGTTAGACTTATTGTAAATAGCAAAAAATATATTCTATAAACTGTTATAAACTGTTATTTTTTAACCTTCAATTATATATTCTTTCAAAGTTCAGCAAAGCTTCTTTCTTACTGTTGCTCTCTAAGTTCAATAGAATCAACTTTAGATAAGAAATTCCTCAGGAAATTTACTTAAACTGAGAATTTCTGCATGTGCTGAAACTTGAATTAATGCAGGTATTTGTTGAAATATTATATTTATTCTGTAACTTATTTTATAACCACTTTTATGAATATAAGCTACTCTAACAGTGCTTAGTTCTATTCAAAGCCCCACATATTCTCATCCTGAAACTTCACTGTACCTGCAAGAAGGGTGAAAAGACTCCATCAGTCTCTGAAGGGAGCACCTGTGCTCTCTTCCTCTGTATATTCTGTGTTGTAGTTAATCCAAGCTTATTGACTGTCCTCCTTAACTTACTGTATATTTTGTGCGGGCATTAATGTAATTGTAAGTTAAGGCCTTTGTTTTCCTGTGAGATTTACAGTTCTGTTTTCAACTTAACTTTGCTTTAATCTTCTTTAGACCTTCCTTCTTCACCTACCTGGTAAGTTCTTTGTTCTTTACAATGTTGTTTACCAAATGATGCTCTCTAAGAAATCTCAAATTTCGAAGTTCTTAGTAAAATTTGAACAAAATTCAAGGTTTATGAATAACTTGAAGGGTAATGTAAAAAAATTAAATGCTGTTAAAACTATGTACTCAGAGCACATTTTGTTTATGGCTAGATTCGCTCAGTAGGTAATTTGCTTTATACAATCTGACAATCCAGTGTCTCTAAATGTAATATTTGCAATAACTTGCAATAGTTTAACAGGCTAATTTTATTCATAACAAGCTATTCCACTGACACTGGTTTGTATATGTTTCTACTTGAGCAAGCTTTATTTAAGGTAGTACGACAAGTTAACTCTTAAAAGCTGATGTGTCAAAAGGAAACTCCATAAATAAATACTGACTATTTTAATTCAATATTTTGAATGAATATTAATTAGGATCAATAGCTGCAAATAGAAAACTTAAATATTGTACTCTACATGAGTTAGTAGTTACGTCTCTTTAGTTTAAGTTTTGTAGTAGCAGGAACAAAACAAATATTTTGTATTAGGAAAGAGGTAACAGCTGTAATGGAATGCAAAGCAAGTGCTCTACAGTGACATTCCCATTCTGGGAGCACACTGAAGGGGAACATAGACATACAGCTATGTTCTAGCTGCTTATATGGATCTCTCTTTTCATTTATCATATTCTGAATAATTCACATCACTCAAAATTCTTAATGCAGCTGACTCTATTACCCTCTCATACTAAAACCTATTAGCCAAAGAGGCTCAGCATATATTACCCAATATAATTCGCTGGATGGCTCTTGGTGATATCACTATAAAGGTCACATTACAGCAGGTTGTGGTTTGTGCTTCCTATGTCAGATACAATAAAAATGTAGAAGAGAAGTAAATGCAAAGATCTTGAGGTACCTTTTTCACAGAAAGTTCCAGTAAAATGAAGGGGACAGTCGCAGGAAGGAATAGTTCTGTTGTGAAGCTGCAGCTGATGGCATGTTCCTCCGTTGTGGCAAGGATCATCATGGCAAACCTGAAGTTCACGCAAAGGAAGTTTTGGAGATGATGATAGCAGTGGAGCTGTGCTTACTGTGTCGGTGGAAGCTGATGGAAGGGCCCGACTCAAATACTTAAATGGGGAGTCAACTGTAGGATGTAAAGGAAACCTGACAGAGTAGATTGAATAAACAATCAATATCAAGACCATGGGTTGAAAATGCTTTAACTATGCTTAAGGAATAAAAACTCATGTGGAAAAACTAACACTTTGATCATGTTTCACTGTTACCACTCTTCATCTTTCTATTTGGTCTGATTTTTATGCCAGAATCACTTGGTAACTTTGTTTTATTAACTTAAAATGAAATAAATGAATGATGAAAGGGACCATATTATAACATGTTTTTCTTGTTCTAGCTTTAAGAATTTAGTACACATTACCTGCATTGGTCAATATTGCTGCCAGCAACTGCATTCGTTGTGTAGAAGCTTCTGAGGTGGTTAATTTCTATTACTTCAATACAGCCAGTATAGTTGTCCAATGGTTTTGCTCTCTTTAAAAGAAAAGTGTAATAAAAAAACCCAAAAAAAAACCCAACAAAAAACAAACATGTAATTTTAAACTGCTGACATTCAATACCGTATAATTTTGGCAGCTAGTTAACACAGAACGCAATAATTACAAAGCTCACCTGATTGGGAAGATATTGTTGTGGCAAGCCCCCTACGAAGACATGGTTTGTTCTTTGAATCATGTGTCCCAGCCAGTAATTACTGGCTGTGCTTTTAATTGTCTCATGGCCCGAAAGCGTCAGCTCTGCTTCACAAGGTGTCAGGTGTTGCCTGATAAGGCAAAAACATGTTAGAAAAATGCTTGTGCATATGTACACAACCTGTTGTTCTGTACAGTACACATCATGTCAAGAACATGGAACATATAGTCATTGAATTTTTTTTTTACATCCCTTGAACTTTAGAAATTTGATTTGTTACAACCATGAATTTCAATGTATTTATTAGAATTTTATTTGATGGTGTTACTGTATGAAATGTGAAATTGCCTGTATGAGGTATTTTGTTCCTAAATGGATTGATTCAGGAGTTACCCTGTCCATCTTCCCATAAACTATAATGACAGGAGGATGCTGCTACCATAAGAATGTAGAGAGGCTGAAAGTTCTGTTTCATCACTAGAGCTCATCTGGAACACCTTACAGCCTTTTTCAAACAGTAACTTCTTTTTTAACCTCTCTTCTATTCAGGTCTGATTTATGGAGGGTCTAATCGATAGTTGCCTGTGGATATCTTCTCCTACCAGAGTTGTAGATTTTCATTTCAACTAATTTTGTCGATGCAGATTAACAAACACATTTTATTCTCAAGGTACTCTGAACTTGAACACAGAGATATGCGGTAAATTCAATCAAATCATAGCGAAGCACTGCAAAAAATTGAAATCTTAATGAGTAATTTTTGCTTAAATTAAGTGCATTTTTTCTTGAATTGGGGAGGTAATTGAGATATTTTGCCAATGGAAAAAGACAATTTACATTTAAAATAAGAAAAAAAAAATTGCTTTGTCTTATTCCAAGTGCATATTATCTAATTATCTTGTTTTAGGAATAATAATACTAATTCCATTGGCAAATCATCTTATTTATCTACTCAAATTAAGGGCAACTACACTCAATTTAAGAATTATTTTACTTAATTCTAGATGGTTTTTGCAGTGCAGTTTCAGACTTTATAACCCCAGTTTAAATTTGATGTTTTTTTTTTTTTTTTTAAGTTTTGTTTAGTATGGAGATTAGTGTAAAAACTTTAACATCAAAAGATAAAATAATGTTTGCCACTTCTAAAGGTCTCTGTCTCAGTCTTGCCTTTTTGATTAATCTTGCTCAGTTTATCAGTTTAGGTAGGCAATACCTTGGCTATGCCTTGGTCAGTTTTTCACTAGTGCTATCATTGTTTAGTTATTGCAAAGAATAAAAAGAAAGAAAGAAATGAAACATGTATGTTAAGGAAAAATAGACAACAGACTAATGCTTGAATAAACTTGCTTCCAGTGTGTGTTGCATTGAATTTAGTATTTATGATAAACACACCAATCTAAATGTTTTCTGTTGTTATGCCCATCATTCACAATTCTTCAGTGCCCTCTCTTTTTATTGGGATATGTTATGAGGCTCTACTAAAACTGTTGTAGATCCACCCCATAGCCTCAGATTTAAAACCAATTCTCCTCTTGGAAACAACAGGGGAGCTCAGATAATTACCTAAGTGCAGATTCTGGACTACCTAGCAGCAGCTTGAGGGTTCTTAGCCCACAGATTCAAAGTCCCCTCTCTAGTGCCTCTTGATGCACCTTGCTCCCTGAATAGAAGTTAGAAGGTCTGTGAAGCAATCTAGTCTGATTTGTTAAGCTAGGGTTGCACGCTGTTGTATATGCTGGCTAAACACTCAGGGCACTTTCTACAACCTGCATAAGTCCTTCCCCCAAAGCAAGCATGGAGATGCGGTTAATTTAGAAGCAGCCTGCCAGAGCGGCCTGGCTGGAAGCCAGAGGGCACCGTGCTCACTGTCCTTGAGAAGTCAGCCCCACCGGATTTCTATTTAACATATTGAAAAGCCTCTTTGACGGGAAGATATATTAAAAGTCTATAATGAGTTAGGTGGTGACGTTGAGGATGGCTGTGGTGTTGTAGCTCTGGGTCAAATCAGACAAAGATGGACGGACTCAGGCGTCAGACAATTACACAGAATTTGCTTCGTGACACCAGAAACCATTTTTCCATACAACCAACCCCCTAGTTATGACAGCTCTCTTTCTTGCAGTGTCTCAAGGGGTTGGAGTAGAACATTATGATTGATTCATACTGCTGTGGTATTTTTCTTCCAGAAAAAAAAAACAAACAAAAAAAACGGGTTGGTTCTTGTTGCCCCTTGAACCTGATTGGCCTCTTATATATTTATGGCAGTGTAGCCTTCCTGCTACAAAAACATGAAGCAACCCTCCCACTCAGCTTCTGTTTCTGTGGGAAAAAATCTTGCTTTCCTTTGGCACGGTTTTGATATCACCTTCAATGTAATAACTTGTACACATAATGTCTTCTGCAGGCAACAAATTAATTTATTTTTCCTGCTGGTGTCTTTAGATGATTCTCCCAAAGCAAAATTTTAACCTCAAAAAAGACAAAAAGAGTCTCTGAACTTAGTAAAAATGTTTATAAACCAAATTTATACATGCTGCACTTTGATTGTTTCAGCTTTCAGCTTGTATATATATATCTGTTAGACATTAATCCCTGACAATTATTAACTAAGAGTTAGTTATAAGCTCACCCTGTAAACAAATCTGCCACAGTTTCTTTCCACATAAAACATTTGGAAATAAATAATGTACATAAGTTTAATATTCAAGTAACATAAAATCTTTTATTTTTATTTTCTTCCAAAATTCCATTGCAATTTTGAAGGAATAATCCCACCTCCAAGTCTTTCAAAATAGTTTTACATGATTTTTTTTAAGCTGCTCTGGTAAAATTCACAAGGCTCACTGTGTTGTAGGTAGAGACAGGATAATATGGAGCCTGGATTTTTACCAGCATTTTTACCTGATAGTGAAAAAAAAAAAACTCAGCATTTTAGTGATTTTTTTGTGTCTTTGCTAGACCAAATAATAATTAGGACTAACCCAATATTAGAGGCTGTGCTGTGTCTAATTTGAGCAATGGGACTACCAGTCACCCATAGGGTAAGGCAGGTGCAGGGGTGGATGTGGATAAATAGATAATCCTGCTGGGGCGCGGCAACAGTGGTGTTGCAGGAGTTCACCCTTCAATAAAAAGGTTGTTGGTGCAAGCGCCAGCTTTCAAAGTCGCTGTGCTCTTGGGCAAGACATTACCCTCACCTGTGTGACAGAGTGGGGTTCTGTCACCATGCCTCCAACAGATCGTGCGCATTCGCTGCTTGGCCAAGGGGATATCCCTTTAGCTGACTGGTCAGCATGAATGACTTTCGCCCAGGATCCTGGGGATCAACCAGAATTGCCCACTGATGGTGGTCAGAGGGCCTGCTTACAGCTGTGAGCTCCAGCTTCTGTCAGTAAGCTCCAGCTAAAGTGCAGTTAAAATTGTCACATATGAATTTTTGCTTGAATGGGTGAATGACTGGACATGGTGTAAAGCCTCCTTTGTCAAGTCTGCTGTATTGAAAAATGCTATATCAGTACTTTATAAAGCATTTGATTGCTTGGTCAACCTGTTGACCAAGCAGAAAATGCAGGTTGGAGGTTGAGAAAGCAGCAAAAGGGTCAAGCTAAGCCGTAACTATTTGTATAGCCATAACTGCTTGAGAATGCTTGAAAAGCAAACATACTGTATTAAAAAATTGCAAGATTTCTATTTCAAAATGATAAAATTCCAAGTCACAAAATAAATCTTTTTTTTTTGTCAAATCAATTAATAATTATTTTTTTTAAGCAAGCTATTCAATATTAAATACATATTTAAGGTTGTATTTTCTGTATATATATATATATATATATATATATATATATATATATATAAACATTTTGCATTTAAGATAAAACATAAATTGACATACGTTATGATAGAAGCTTTGTTAATGGGTTAATGGGTATCTATTCTGCTTTGATGTACATACCTGATGTTCACAATATGAACTCTGCCATCATCAACATGAATGCGTGCACTCATCTGTGTAACCTCTTCATCTTCGTTGCAGCAAAAGGCATACTGAAACATTAGAAGATGGTTTAAGTATGCAATGTCTCTTTTGTCATGTTTATACCTGTCTAATGTCACTGACATAATAGACTAAGAGATATTTTAAACTAATCATCAGGCATAACAAAAATATATATTAATGCATTTATGAATTTTATATATGTATTTGACATTGAAATAGGTTACACATAGTTGCACTATATATCTCTATATACTGTATATATCTATATAACTATAAATGACAAATAAATCTAAATGTTGCTGATCAACTATTATAGATCTATACTTTAAGATTTAACTAATATGAGTGTATGAGTATATAGTGTATTGAGGTTGTACAAAGTAAACTGGGGTTAATTATTTCATAAAAGTTTAAAATATTTACATTATACACTTTTATGATATCAATTGAATGCTCTCTTTTTTAAGGTTTTGAACATAAAGCTATGTTTAATCTGAAAAAGTGTAATAAAAAAAAAAAATGCTCACTAATGTCTATTTTTGAGTTTAAAAACTGTCTTTTACGGATTATTTAAATTTGTTTTCAAGAATTTTATAGGTATAAAAATATTTCAAAATCCTGGTAAAGTGTAGCCAGTGACTTAAGATGTCAAGTTTAGTAGGTAAATGATAACTTGTCATTACCTTGTAACATAAAGGCTGACTCACAAGTAATTTGTTTTCTAAATATGGATTTACATTCTTCTTTTCAAATCATACTATATCATTTAGGGGTCATAGAATGCAAAACAGAGTTTACCTTGTCATAGATGAATAACGATAGTTCAGTGGGTGAAATGTTGAAACCCCATCGACACCTCCTTTCTATGCAAATCTCACAATTCTAAACTTTCACCATAAAACGGGCAAATCCAAACGAAGCCCCAAGTTGATGTAATCTGGGGGATGCTGCTTTATTTGGTTCTAGCCTGCACTTTTGTCACGCCCTGGGATTTACATGCAGGCTATCGTCACCAGATCAGGATCAGTCTCTCCTTCCCCCACTGTCTCCCCTACCCGTCCACCAGGGTTCCCTGACCAGCACCGGAGCTTACGGGTCGGTTTGAGTGCCCGGGTGTTTCGATTACGTGCTGCGCTATAGTCGACCAAAATCCTGGACGATTTAGAAATTTCCCCCGGACATTTTTTAGGTATGAAAAGTTGGACATATCCGGGAAAAAGAAGACGTCTGGTCACCCTACCATATCAACAATTTTGATGTTTCAGTGAGTGAGTGCTTGTTGCTATGATGCGTCTTTGCTCAGCAGTTTCGCTCGTCGTGAACCAACCAATCAGTGCACAGCTCATCTAAATATTCATGAGCATACAAAAAAGGAAATAAACCGGTCGTTTTATTCTAGGGCTTTTAACCAGGCTTGAATCAGGGCTCATAGAACAGCAAATATGCCATTTTCAGCCCAACCAAAGTTACACACCCTATTCAGAGACCTTAAGGACTACAGTAGGGCCGCACTACAGTAAATACCTTATATAATCATTTTATGACCCCTTTAAAAAAGGAATATAAAAAGAATCTAGGAGCTCTGAAATTCTGACTGACTATTGGCTACATTTGTTAGGAGGACATATTTTCTATTTCTAAACTGGTTGACCATTGAAATATATGAAGTCACACATTTAAGTTAATTGGAATGGCTTGTAAAACGGTTTTATCACCAAAACCTACAAATATACAATAAATTCCCTTCTGCATGACTGTCTACTGTATTAAATATATATTTTTTTCAAATAGTAAACAGTTTAAATGTTAAATTGTTGAATTAACTTGTTAAATCGTCAAAGTAAACATCACAGCCAGATGTGTATAATTTAAATGTATTATATTATATTCAATTTAAAATATGTCTGCAGCATTACAATTACATAAAATAAAAAGCTGTTTTCTCTTCCACTGTGTACATCTATTAACTGAACAAACCACCTATGCAGATCAATTTGACTGGTCAAAAAAGGGCTCATGCAAATACTTTTAGGCTCTCCTGTTTCCACAATAGGTTATGGGTTAGTAGTTCAGTTAACCTTTAAGGGTATTATTATACAATATTTTAAAGTACAGACATTTCCTACAGACCAAACAGATATCAGTATCAGAAACCTTTCTGTAAAACGGTATTTACCTTCAAGATCCCATCCTGGATAAAAAGTTTCATAAAAAAGAAATCTCCATTAATGGGTCCTTGGTCCACATATAGAAGCATTCCCTGAGATGCCTTGGTTTGAAATCTCACAGTAATGTTGTTCAGAGTTTCAAGGTCAACAGCATGAAATTCAAGGTATGAAATCCCAAAGAAGTGATGGTAACTCCAATCTGGGGATAAAATACATACAGAAAGCTTAAATTGTGGAGAGAGGTAAACAGAATTAAGAAAAATACATTTTTAGTGTGTGAAAAACACCTGAAATGCTGGCAAAGGCCACAGACAAACATCCAGAGAATGCTTACACAAATAATGTCTAGAAGTGTGACCAAAAAATTGTTTTGCAGTTTAAAAGTGGTTTTAGTACTTTAGTAGTTTTTCCAACCAAATCTAAAGGCAAATCCAAAGTAAGAAATGCAAGCCCTAGGTAAGTTCTAAAGTCAAGAAATTCAAAGCTCCAGTCAGGTGCAAATTCTTGACTAAACATTTAAATCTTTAACAAAACAGAATATATAATTCAATAACAGAATAACATTTAAATTAACTTCAACAACTTAAGAAAATCATTGGCAATGTTGCTCATAACAGAAAATAAATGAAAGAGCAAACTGATCGATAAAAAAACAACTATTTGAGTTCTCAATAAGGAAGGTCCACCTGTACACCTTCGTAGTTGTCTTCTGGACAAGAAACTAAGACGAGTCTACCAGGACACCTGGAAAATAGAGGTTTACCTCTGCATGCATTAAAGCTGCAAGGAGCAGCTTCTGCTGCTTTCAGGCAGCATAAGGAATGTTCAGGTATCTTGAGGAACCGTACGCTAGGCTAGCCATCCAATTTTTCTCAGATATTAATCTGATTAATATTATTATTATATTATTAATCAGATATTATAATAATGCACCTATGTAATGGAGGTTCTCTATGAAGAAATATGTAAAACAGCACAAACCAAATTGTTTACATGGTAATCATTGCATAATATCTGAGAAACTTTGGATGCCTTTCTTTTACAGTACATATTCTAAATACTTACCAATTAATTATATGTGTTTTACTTGGTAATTTGCACAAAATAGTTTTGTTAGTCTTTTAAGAGTTAAAAAAAACATTCAAAGTGATATAATTATACAGCAATAATTAATTAATACCAAAGGAAGAAACCCAGCAGTTTACTTAATTTCATCTGGTAAAATGTGCTAATTTACACTAGTCACTACTTACACTAACCTAGACCTAATAACAGTTTGAAATGAAGAATTCTGACTTTACCTTGTCTGCCTGAAATTTGAACCACAGCACTTACCTGACCATAAATAACAATTTACTTTGTAATCTGTTGTAAACTGTCCCATGGTAACCTGATGGTAATTACCCACCAAAATTCGCCATTGTTACATAGTAATATGTAATTGCAATAATTATATGCTGGTAATTACTTTGAAATTATGTACTTTCACTTTCGGGTAATTGCCAAGTAAAGTTATTGTTGTTACCTAGTAATATAGTGTAACTCGCTATGTTATTACTATATTATTACATGGTTATAATGTACTGTAAAAGAAAGTATTACCGTTTGATTTAATTGAAATTATATTGTGTGTTTATGTGTTCCTTTTATTGTTTTGAGTAATGTTTTAAGGGGCTTGGCTATGGACTGCCCGAAATTTCAAAACTAGAGTTGTGAAAGGTGTTGGTTATTTTTCGTGTTCTTTGACTGCTAATTTGTATAACAATTTTAATTCACTAGAATTTTTTGCCGGGCTGGAATGACAGTCAGCTCATTTTGGACTAAGGCCAAATCATGAGACATGGATCATGACTAAGAGAATGTGACACTGGATAAAAGCAGCGAAAATGGGCTTCTTCTTTAGAGTGGCGAGACAAAGCCTTAGAAATATGGTGGTGAGGTCTCTCATCTGTGGGAGTTCATAGCAGAGCAGCTACTAATACGCATCAAAAGAAATCAGTAAAGGTGTGTTTGACGTCTAAACTAAATGCCCTTCTAAGTGCCTGTTCTGAGATGATTTCCAGGTGCACCCCACTAAGAGGAGACCCAGGGGCACACACAGACCTCACTGGGAAGATTATATATACCTTCAGGCCTATAATTTCCTTAGTA